AGAAAAGGAAAGCTTCCTCTACCTCATCACATTTTCAGGCAGCCTACCAAACAACACTAAATTGGTCTACCAAAAGACAAGTCTTGTCCTAATTAGGAAGCACAGGCATATGGGGTTCAAGGTCTTTAGCAACTGAAAAAAAAAGACTTCTAATTAAAATCCAGCCTGCTAGAAAATAGACACCTGACATGGGGCAACATTATGACCCTTGTCTAATAATAACCTGTGCTCCATTGTATTTCACTGTAAGCAGAAAATAGCTGCTTGCCTTTCTGCCCTTTGCATGGTATTATGGTAAAGGAAAACTCCCAGAAAGAATATTATTAATATAAGAGTGCCTGGTGTATCAGGGCCTGAGGTTTGCAAGAGTAATTTGATACAACACATGTCATTTCTGAATAGATTTATGCTTGAATCCAGAACAAACCTGTGCTTGAGAAGGTCAAAACAGCATGTGTACTTAGGGTCAACAAACACAGCTTTGTTAGTGAGATATAAGAGCATTGTATTAAATTCTTTGAAACATACAAACATAAAAAGAATCCTTTTCTATCATTTTTGTTTTCGATGAACTGAAAAACACAGCTCTAGGGAAGAAAGACATCTTCCCTCAGGGCTTCACTAAGTCACACATACGCCCCAACCACCTAACTGTATCAAAGGAGAACCACAGTATCATACAATCTAAACTGTTCTTCAGACACCTCGCAGTTTTCACTGATCTTACATTCAAAGCCGTAAATTATTAAAATGATAAGTGCTAAATCCCGATGGTGAAGTTATTGACATTACTGATGCTAAAAAATCATATCCAGTAATATTGTTTTTCTATATCCATTATGCTGAATATTTGTCCAATGTTACATCCCCTATCTGGACCTTAACAGAGGGAGAAGCATAACTGTGTTTCTGTGAGTTTGTGTGCACGTGTGTTGTATACATTATTTTAGAGCCCTTTCCCACTTTTACAGGCTCTTCAGATTAAGCACACACACTAAAACATTTGTGGTAGTATTTAGAGTACTCGACTGGTCATAGATGAGAACCCCATTTTGCTATACCCTTAGCATAAAAGATAAAAGAATGGCCCATCAACCAAAGTGTTTACAGTCTAAATGTAAAGATATGAGAACATATGGACACTGGCAAACAAATAGAGAAAAGGGAGAATATTAGTCAGCCTGATAGGCAGTACTTGTCAGAACATCAACAGCTTAACCTTTGTAGGCATCATGGTAAATAAGATATTTAAGGAGGGATCTGAGGAAGAATATAAAATGGTTTATGGACAGTAACCCCCAAGCATTACAGAAAGCACGAAGGTGTTTTTTGAAATTCTCCAACTCAGCAAAATATATTGGCATCACGGACTGATTGGAAATAGAAGTTTACTTTTTAGTACTGAACAAGAAATGATACATGAAGAAAATATAGTCTGAGAAGAACCTCAAAATCATAGGTGGTATTGTGGGCCACTGGTGTTGTGGGGTTCCCTTTCACTGCAGCTAGCTGCAGCAGCAGGTGGTAGCTGGTGAGGCACGAGGCCTCCCCTGCTCCCAAGAGAGGAGTGGGGATGTAGATCTAGGCCGGGAGGTGGTGGTGGAGAGAGCAGGAATTTGTGGCATCTCATCAGGCTCCTGCTGCTCCCTGGCCCAGAAGCTCCAGCAGCAGGCAGGGGAACCGTAGGCACCCCCTGGTGGTCACAGGAGACTAGGCAAGCTGGACCTAGAGTGACCAGGTAAGTAGCAGTTCTTATTTCTTAGGTTGTTAAAGGTAGGCAGTAGAAAGTAATAACAGAGTGCTATTATACTCCGCTGGCTGTATCTTACGGTGTCTGAGGAATAAATTTGATCTATTAGATGTCCCCCATTTCTTAGATCTACAGTTAGAAGTAGTGGTACCAAATTTGCCAGCATTCATGTTGAGTACTGTAAGTCACAATTATAACTAGGCATCTAAAAACCACAGCTCATATTGCTGCCTAAAGAGAAAAGGATAATTTCTTTCTATCTCAACCACACAACATAATACAACTTAAGCTGACAGTCAAACAACTCTGCCAAGAGAGTGAGGAAGAAAGGAGAGTCATCTTGTACCATGACAGCAATAAACTGGTCTGCTCTTGAAATGCAGAAAGTTGTAATGGAGGTACATATTGACTTTTATCTTCCTTTCAGTGGGTAGAGTGAAGTGTCAAGAGTTATTGCTTTAATATCAGCAGAGATGAGGCCATTTGTTGTGGTGCGCGTGTATCCAGGAAATCATTGCTCTAACCATGTTTTTAGAGGCTCTTCTACACTTTATTATATCTCTTTGATGCCTTTTCAGCACACAGTGGTCTTGACTGGTCTAGTGAAGTGCCATATAGAGTAGCAGAAAGCTTTGTGTGAGATTTCTTCTTCAAATGATCGTTTCCAGTTCTAGAAAACCACAAGAGGTCCAATTCTATTCTCAGTTACACTGACATAAATCAGTTTAATTCCACTTGGTTATCTACATGTGAAATTAAGGTGATGTAATAAACTCTGGAACAGTTCACGCCAGAGTACACTGCTTCCAGGTGCAGCATCTACACATGTACCTGCACAACAGCAGCACTTTGAGCCAGGGTGGAGCAGCCTCCAGCTGGCACCAGCCTTGGCGGGTCAGTCCCGGGGTCTGGGTGGCAGCATTGGGCAGCAGAGGGGTTGTCTGGGGCACGAAAGTGCTAAAACTTCAGAGCTGCGTGGCTAGGCAGGAGCTTGGCCCCCTGCTGCCTGGGCTACCTGCGTGCAATTTACACCCGTGACCACCAGCAACACGTGCATTTAGTCGCACTTTATTACTCTGCCATATGACAGTACTGACAGTACTATCCTATGGAGGATTTAATTTGTTTACTGCACCCTAATACTGGCACATGTATAGACTGTGATGCTTTACTGCAGAGGTAATTAGTTTACTCTGAAGTAAAGTGCACATGTAGATACACCAAGTTCCATACATTATGGCAGATCTCCTCCACTGTAGTATTGTGTAACAGCAGTATTTGGCTTATGGAATTTACTTCCCTGAGCAAGACATTTCTTAAAAATTCTTCTAATAGTCAGAGAAGTGAGTTGTAAGTCTCTCACAAGATCTGACAGACCCCAACAAGTCCTGGGGTATTTCTCCTCATGTTGTTGACAATTATAATACATGCACCAGTCTTTGAGGGTAATAACTCAAGAATCCTACTGTTGACTGGAATTTACAGACTGTCAGTGGGGGAGGGTAGTGTTAAGCCCTAGTTTGGCTTTAATTACTTCAACTAAACAGGAGCAATTTTCACTGTAATAATAAATACCTCCCCCAGAGTGAAGTAAAGTTCTGCATTTTCACATCATTCATGAACAAGATTAAGTGAAAAATACAGAGAAAGAAAACATAGGGAAAAGAATAACAAGCCACTGATGAAAACTCAATCACTTAGAGAAATCATAAGATGTTATATTATTAATTTTGTCACGATTTCATTGAACCTGTTCATTGCAAAAGTCAAAAATATGAATGCCCAAGAAAATGTTCGTCAAGGAGGCAAGTGGACTCACTTTAAAATATTTCTTTTTTAAGCAGCGACACAACTTTTCCTATCTCTTTTGTTTAGGGTTAAAAATCACTGGCCAAATTCTCAGCTGATGTAAGTAGGTGTCAGCCAGCTGAGTTCAATGAACACATTTAATGTCTATCTGCTAAAGGTCTGGCCCCTCATCTATTATAAAACCGATTATTTTGCTTTTGTTACTATCACAGTCATAGCCTACAGGAATGGAAATAATTAATGGGATCTATTTCATATTTCAGTGTTAACATCCATTATTTGCACTTCACTTTTTATTATGTGCAGGCCATGGCTATAAGGTACTCAAGTTACTGAAAGGCAAGCTAGGGTCTCAACTCACTCTTCATTAACTACTCCATAGTAACTGCTAACACTCTTACTTCACAGTAAATTTGAGGTACCTTATCACACTTTCAATGAGGAATAAACTACCTCAATTTACTATGGGATAAGAGCATGCATGTGAGTAGTTGCTACAGAATAGCTGACAGGCTGTAGTTCACACCACAGCTTAATTCTCAGTAATATTATTGTGTTCTTATACCCCATGAATGTTGATCAGACAGTTAGTTTCTGAACAATTTCATACCCAAGCTTTCACATAAAACCATTGCATTTTTTAATGTTACAAACATAATTACATCTGCACAGCTAAATCTATTTACACCAGATTTTTTAAACTCAAATCCAGTGGAAAATCCTGAAGGGTACTGTGATACTCAAAAGTTTACCTACATCTATCCCAACCATACAGTTAGTTCAATAAAAATATCATACACAAGAGTTCTTTTCTGCTGATCATATATTTTGGATAAACTCTTTTGGGAACACGTACATTTTGGATGAAATGGATCTGACACAGCTCCTATAGCATTATCTAAGAGAAAGCTGTAACATCAAAAAGAAAAATGGCTCACCCTGAAAACTATGCTCCATTGCCTTTTCCCCCATTGAGAACCTCACCATTGCAGAATATATGGAATAATAATAATAATAATAAATAATAATCTACATACATCTCATTAGGCTGTCATTGAAACTTCCTAGTGATAATTTTTTCCACATCTATCAAAACATGCAAACAATGTGGTCCAAATCCTGTTCTCATGGTGCAACGTCACTGGTAAACATTGAGTTGCACTGGTACAAGAACAGAATTTCACCCTATTATTAAAAACATGTGCAGTAAAAATGCACCCATTTCTGCTTGTTTAAACCATAAAAGCATCACATTCTGTGCTGATTTGTACCTTATATAGTCTTATTAAAACCTACCATTTTGTGGAGTATAATTCATCTGAGAATGCAACCAAAGACGCTTACCTAATCAGTCAACTAACAATTAAAGTATAAACCAGAACCCAAACAAATGGAGAAGAAATGGCTCACCTGGATGCTAGGTGGGGAACGGTTTTTTCGGGTTGTAGTGGTGGCCATGGTAGTGGTGGTTTCCATCACTGTGGTAGACATTTCTGGCGGCATGGAGGTTGTAGGTGTTGTTCCCAAGAGGGATGGGACTTCTCCAACAAGCCGGACACTTCCATTGATTTTAATGTTGGGGTTATTCTCTGCTGCCATATTCAGAACTTTCAAACCATTGTAATAGAGACCGGAGAGCTGGCCTTGAAAGAGACGTCCTCTGTCCTTCCCTCCAATGGCTATTTGCGCCTGGGTGTTGAAGATCGTTAACTGTCGTCCTAGTGAAGGGGGGGGGGGGTGAAATAACATTATTGACAGAAATTTTCTGCAGTTTCTTACCTTGAACTGAGTCCCAACAAGAATGGACTGAAGATGAAAGCAGGTTCCCTAGTGGTGGAGATTAAATAGTAGAAACAGTGAAGCAAATTCCTGTTTTAGACTAATTAATGGTAGATGTAGTCCTGAACAAATGAACACTGGATCCTGAAATTCTCACTTTAACCCACAATTGAACAATGAGAAAGTTTTGATCCAAATACAGAAATCAGATGCAAATTTTGCAATTTGGGTCTATTTTTAATTACAAATAAAATTTTCATGTACAGTTACTCCCCCTAGTGGCTTTTGGGGACGCAAAGCAACCTGGATCCTAACCCTTCTCAAGGCTTAGCCCAATATACATGGGAAAATAGTTTGAACACTGACAGGTAAAAAGGGAGGAATTAACTTCTGGAGATTCTGAGAATAGGCAGTAAAAGAAAGATAAACTCTAAGAAAAGTGTGATCCATGGGCATCCTGGGGAATATAGAAAAGCTTCAAGTAAGAGAATGTGACCTGGAAATTAGCAAAGGGGGAAGGCAAGGAACCCCAAACATCTGAAAATTCCAAATCTGAACTTTTCTAATGTAATGGAAAACAAAGCTCTTAAAATAGTAAAAGGTGATTGATTATTCTTCATTGTGCTCACCATGAAAAAGCTACACGGGAAACTCATTTTACAGGCAGCAAAACTAAAGCAAAGGCAAGTTAAGTGATTTAGCCAAAGTCACAAAGTGCATTTTTACACGTGCTCTGGAAGGTGTGTAAAAGCCATGCTAATTAAAAGCACCCAAGCCACGCTAATTAAAAGCACCCAAGCATCACATGTATCAGTGTTCCCCACACTGAAAAATTGCAGCAGGGCGCTTTGAACTAAAGCTCACTGAATAAGCCTTAGTTCAAAGCACTGCCCCCCGCCATTTTTCAGTGCAGGAATGCTGATACACGTGATGGTAGAGTCTGCTAGGAGCACTTTTATTTCTCTGCTCCAGCAGACTTGATTGAGTCTGCTCCGATGCACTGGATTTCCAGAGTGTTGGAGCTGGCTCCCTGCGTGTCTATAGGAGCCCACAAATTGGGTCAGGGACAGTTTACCATCACGTGTAAAGATGGAATATACCCTGGAAAAATCAGCCAGTTGTCTTTTTCCCACAGAGCATTCAAGTCACCCCCAGCCCAGAATGACTCAAATATTGCCTGCTTTCGCAAACTACCCTAGACCAATTAATTGAAAGTATTAATGATTCTTCCCACTGCAAAGAAAATGGACAGTATTTTTCTCTCTGTCCAACGTTTTGGAGTATGTCAATGGATCTACAGGATTAACAGGGAACCAAAGTGGCCAGAATTCAGGCTAATCAAAGCAGAGCCAAACCATTCTTTACTAGATTATTCAATTCTGTTACCCCTTTGCCATCCATTTTCACAATATTTGCAGTATTACACCATCCCATTTCCTCTACTCACCACTCATGTCCCTCTTTCTCTAGTCCACCCTGATAAGTAGTGTGGAATACCACCATGTAGTAGAACAGAGCCTGTCTCCCACTGATCAATCCCTCACAGCCAGTGGTTAAAGCAGATCAAAATAGGAGGGGGAGCTCACCAATTTTGGTGGTCGTCGTGACGGGTCTCGAAGTCAAGTGGTGATGCGGTGTTGCATCATCTTAGGGTGACAGGATGAACCATGGGAAAGAGAATGGGGACAAGAGAAGAAATGTATCTGAAAGGAGTTTCTGTCCCCAAGGAGGGCCCTAGCTAGCCAAGCAAAAATGTATGCGTCTGTGTGACATATGGAAAGGTGGTGGTGGGGCGCACCTCCCTAGCACTCCTCACACACGTACCTAAAAATGCCAACATTTAAACTTGACCAGGATGGATGATTTGTACTGATGAAAAGCAAAGAAAATAAAAATGGAGAGAGTAGCACATCATACCTCTGAAAAATCATGAAACTCCTGGTGCAATTTCTGGCATTTCAGGAGGTTTTAAAATTTACCAGGAGAGAACTTTTGTCCCATTAAACCAGAACGAGCTAAACATGAAAACAGGGCCTCCCACTGTGCAAAATCTAAGTAGTTTATCCCCTCTGCTATCTCTAAGGATACTGGGCTCCTGCTTCTATCTCCCACCAAAATTCAGCTCTCTTAAGCAAGCCTCTTCCTTCACTACAAGTTAGGGCAAATGGTAGCATGCTTTTGGCATCAAAGCTTCTGTAAAGCAGCTTAAAGCCTTGTGACTGACCAAGTCTCCTGAGGGGATTTTTTCCCTCCTGCCTTCTTATTTTACATTGCTTTACCCAGACCCTTAGTGTTTCAATTTTTCCCATGAGTCTCTTGGGGATTGTTTTCCCTTCTCCCCCAGCCTGTATCTTGTCCATTTCCCCTCCCTTCTTCACTGATTTCCCTTTGGTGTCGCACTCTCCCTTTCCCTTACATGGTAGTACCAGGTGAAGGAGAGGAAGTTGATAAGGGCTGTCTTGCTACTCTTGTGATCTTTTTCCTCTGAAATGGAGGGATTTGCTCTTGAGCAACCAGTTGTTGCCGTTTCCCCTCGTCTCTCTAACGGGGTTTCCTTTATTCCTTGTCTCTCATCCTGAAGGAAGGTGGGGGCTGGCAATATGTCTGATCAGACCACAGCAGTGGCAGATAGGGAAGACCACTTCCTTTCCTGTCAGGTATTGTTCCTTCTCAACCTGCTCTCTTCAGTTCTTCTAGCTCCTCCTGTCCCAGGGGTGGTGAATAAAAGTTGAACTCTCCAAGCCAGGAATGGAAGAGAAATGGGTGCTCTCTCTGGCTTTAGCAAAGGAAGTTTGCTGCACTCATTGCTGGTTTCCCTTTTACTCATAACAAGTCCTCCCAGCTACATAGGACACCTCTGCTCGGATGCAACATTAAAGAGTCATCACGTCTCCACACCTTCTTTCTATCCTCTAATGTTTTAAGATCACCTATCCCAGGGAGGTGGCCCCATTCCAGGAAAGTGGAACTTTATTGTCTTTCCCCTCTTGAATAACAAGTTCTTCAAGTCCAAGAACTGAAGACAGTGCATGCACCACATTACACAGTTACTACTGAACACAGCACTGGTGCTAAAGCTGTGTTTGCTAAAATGACAATCACTTGTGGGATTTATCTCTGAGGAATCACCCCTAACCTACAACTCTGCTATGAGATGCACATGGTTGAATGAAGACAGCAGGAAAAAAGTGAATGAAATGAAAGAAATTTGTTCAAGAGAGGAAATGTGTACAGTCCTAGCACTATATCAGAACTACCCCCTCCACCATTTCTTCTATGACTTGAATCAACAATCTTCATTTGTGCTCAGCATAACTTACTCATACAAATAACCCTATCGACTCCAAAAGGACTACTCATATGAGTAAGTGATACTCTGCAAGCAAGGGTTGTAGACTTGGGTTCTTTTTGTGGACTTGGGTCTTTTTTTCCATGGCCAAGTGAAAGACGACAATGGTCTACTTATTAATCGGAGGGGAGGGGAGGGGAGAGGGGCGGGGCTGGCAAATACGTAAGTTTTCAAATTGTTTGGTAAATCCCTTACAGAGCTCACATTCCTAAGTCTCTGTAAAAATATGTTTGCTACCTCTTTCTGATTCTTATCCTCAAAGGATAACATTTTTACAAAGACTCTCCCCTAGTTGAAAATATTAGTGAGAGCTTAGGAGACAGTTTCTGCTGCACCATGCTAAATCAGATTTGGGCCCCAGTTTTGCAAACCCCAGCTCACACAAGCATTTCCTGCTTTTAGGTAATTTAAATCAGTGAGTTTACTCTTCTGACTATGAACTATTTGCATAAGTAAGAGTTTCCAGGATCAGTCTTTCTGTTGGAGTGCTTCTTGCTATTATGGTACTTATTTCACAAACAGGACAATTTCCTGTGTGCATAACCTTCTCCATTGTAACTCACAATATACCTGAGCACTAACAGGCTCAAATGCATCCAGCTACCCAACTTTTGTCTTGTTATGGATATTTATATCAAGGAGGTTAGGACTAATCCTTCATTTTCTACACACACGTAATTATAACAGTAAAGGTAGCAGTATTAAATATTTTGGCATCCTTGGGTCTACTCACATAATGAGATTTTGTAAGAATGAGCACTCTTTGTAGGATATTTTTAATTCCAATGTATAAATTAAAAAATTACGAAATAATATAAATGTAGTTCATTTTCAGCAGAATTTCTATTATATTAGTTCTTCAAGAATGATTTACATTTTCATTCTGAGTAATATGCCGGGGTACCAAACCAATGCCAAATCTATGGTATTAAAAACCATGCTAACTGCAAATTATATAAGCTTACCTCATTTGTGCCAATCATTCACACCTTGCAGACAGCTACTCTATATGCTGTCTCTTTTACCAATCTATCTATCCCTCCATTCATCAGGTTTCATTTTGACAGCTAGCGATCTTCCCTTTTACCCATCATCTTTACATGGTCTTCTGACATAGGACTTTCTCGATACATTAGGAAACAGATGAATGAGTAGGTGAGTGAATAGCTGGGTGGTGGGGTGAATTGTTATTTATTAATTCATTTCACTAAATAGTAACTATGTTTTTTTAAAAGGATACATCTCTTGAAGTGGTGGAACAAAGCTATATTCTATCAGGTGTCACACTGTGCATAATGCAAATAGCTCTGACTGAATTTTCTTTCACTTCAGCAAAAGCATACCTATATTATTCTAGCTCAAACACACTCAGGGGTAGAGTGTGCCTGAGCTCTCAGACACTGTCTGGCTTAGACCCCACTGATCTCATGTGATTGTCTTTTAACAAAGCATCATCATCCACAGAATGGCAAACCCCAGTTCAAGACTTCAGAAGGTTTACAAATGGAAATGCCTTGGCATGCTTTGAAGCTCAGACTTGGAGAAGCAATGGCATAAAATAAAGGACTCCATTCAAAACCAAAAGACTAAATAGAACAAGGACAAATTTCTCAAGCACATGAGGTATATCATAGAATTAAACATGCATCTGATTTAAGAAAAGTGAGGTGATCACTATCTTTAGTGTTAAAAGGACTTTATCCATTTACCAAATGAACTCACCAAAACAAAATTATACACTTTTTAGTGTTAAACTTTATTTGTTATATTTGCATCTCACAAATTTCTCGGGGAACCAGTTGAGACTCAATGAGCATTTTCTATATGCCTTAATTTCAACCTCTCTTTACTGGTTGGTTGGAGGGAAATGTTCTGTAAATCTCTACCGATCAAGAGACATACCTACTTTGCCTTCCTAAGTGAGTAAAGTAAATGGACTAATGGATTAATACTCCTCTACAAATACTGTTAAATGGACTAATACTGCTCAACCAATATTTCTCTTATAATCACAAAATTTACGGTAAGGACCCAACCCTGTAAGGTGAGGGGTACTGTCAGATCTCACTGAGGTTAATGGCAGTTGCAGAACACTGTGATGGGTCAGACCCTTAGCATAAAAATATTTGGACTGAAGTTAGCCAGCCTCTCTGAGTCCTTGCAGAATTCAAGCTGCCTACAGTAATCTGCTAATGCAATTGAGAATAAGGAAATACAAAATATAATGCAAAGGGTATTTGCCCATCTTAAAATATACTGCCTTTTTCTTTAGAGAATTTTGGTAAGATCTACATGAAAGTCAACAAAGAAAATGCAAGATTTGAGTTCAATGGTCACCCCTTTTATCAGAAGTAAATTCTATAAAGGAAACCAGAGAAGACTGCATTCTGCTTTTTCTAAATTTCAGTCATGGCAACATTAAAAAAGTGATTTTTTTTTAATTATCAAATTTTGGCTGCAGGGAGATTTCTTTGCATTTTACCATACATTCTCAGATATAACATGCACCTTTCCTCAAAGAATCAGCACTCCAATACTGTAGTGCAGGTTTTAGGTGGGGAAGCTGTTTTCTTCACTGGAAAAGCAGCAAGCCTTGAGACACTGTGCATGCCACACAGTTGGCAAGATGTCTGCCAGAATGGCAAAGTCCTGTGTTAACTCTCCCACAGACATAGCTATTGTCTGAGCACTACAGCTTGTTCCTGAAGCAGTGAGCTGCTGGTAATATCCTGAAGAAACCTGAGATACAGAAACAACACTTTCTTTGTAGGAACTTATATATAAAAAACTACTTACAGTAAGGAACTAACACCCTAGCTACTGCCCTTGGAAAAGTCTGGGGCCTAAACTTGTGTGACAGAGAAAGTCCTCCTGAAAACAGGCTAAAAAGAGATGTTAGAGTTACCCCGGGACAAAAGCTTTATCCATACAAACCCACTGTCCCACTTGAAGTACCTGTGAGGTATCTGAGATAACATTTTTTTTCCTGGGACAATCACAGCTCATTCAGATTAATTGCCATTCATTTCCAGGGACAAGTTAAATGTGTAGAGGGCTAAACCACCCCCAGGTTTTGACTCCGGTAAATCAGAACCACTTTAAACGTGACGTCTGTTTTTACCCAGAATGTCCAGGAAGTGACATCCCAAGAGACAGTCTGAGCGAGGCAGCTGGCACCAGGAATTTCCTGGTGCAGCACTTCCAGGACACAGCAGGCTCCCAAGACGACCTACTCTGTCACAGTCAGCCATGGCTGTGGAAAAAACAATCTTATGTCCTACATTTTGTCTTTGAAAAACAAGGTGCGTGTTTTATTTGGAGGAATGTTGTATGTGAGAAAATATGGTAACTTCCAACATATTCTAAAGGGCCTAATCCAAAGCCCAATGAAATTAAATATAAGTTATTCCACTGACTTAAATAGGATTGGAATCAACCCTGTATCCAAGATACTTTCTCCAAAATTCTCAATACAGAACCAATTCTACCCCAACACAGGCCCCAATTCAGCAAATCACTTAACTATGTGCTCAAGAAAGTCTGAGGTCAATGCGCTGAAGTTTTTTGCTGAATGAGGGCTAGGTCCCCCATGCAGCTCCATGGATGTGATAAGACTGGCTGGAACATTAATTAGGTAAAAATTTGACAGATTTCAAATCTAATATAAAAAAAATACAAAATTCCATGTCAGAAATCCTTTTAACATAAAAGAGAACAAATCCTTTCTCTGTCTCCTTTATTGTCATTTAAATACAAAAGTTAAAAAATGTTTTCCCTCTAACATTTTTTAAAATTGTTTAATTATGCTCAAACAATTAGGAGACATGCAGCCATAATGGCTAACCATACTGATGAAGGAACAGAACTTACAGGAAGTGGTTTAACAAGTGGGTTTGAAAAACACTTTTAAGAAAACTTTGATAATAAAGATATAGATGTAGTTTAAAAATAAATTAAAACAGGAAGATCATGCAGTGGTTAAATTGCCATAATACATGTTGTAGCATTTTTGTTGTTGTTGTTTGGGTTTGTTTTTTTACGCGGTTCCGGAATTTTTGCTCGTTTGTTTGTCATCACTTTGATAGCAAGCTTAAAATTTCGTCCCTTTAACTGCATTTTAATAGCAATGTATTATAGCATGATTTATCAACATATGGCAGGTGGAAGCTGACACAAATTATAATGAAAATTAAAACAGTCATTTATGCAGCAGGCGATTATCATTTAAGAAACATTTATTTGCAGGCTTTAAAAATGAGGGTTTAGAATCAAATGGGTTTAAAATGAAAGTTTTAATGACTGTTACCTTTTTCCTGCAGCCACTCCTCTACGGGCCGGTTATATTTGAAGGGGATTTTCTGTTTTACCATTTGGAACCGTTCACTATCAGTGTTGCCTTTAAAGTTTAAAAAACAGCTTAAAAACAATCTGAAAAGTCAATGAAATAGTTAAAAACATCCTAGATTTTTACTTTGGTTTGTTTTTATGAAGTTATTTAAGTAGTATACATAAAGGAAATGTAGATAGAGAGAAAGTGAGAAAGAGAGCACTTTATCTTCTTTATTGAGGTAGAGAAAAAAGTTATTCATTCATTGCCTGGAATTCTGGAAAGGTCAAAGTTTTTAAATCCTAGGAAAAAGCTTTAAATATCTTCCCTGTATTTCCTCTCCTGTTACCTTTTCTATATTGCTTAAAAGCCATACATAATTAATTTGGGAAAGCACGGGGCAAATTGGTGACACAGGTTGAAATTCTGAGGGAACATTATTACTGGACTCTAACACAGAGGGCAGGACATTCAGCCCAAGATGCCAACTGCACAAGTATGCAGCCTCAAGAGCAGTTCTGGACCCTCTGGTGGTGGGCTGAGAGAAGCGTATAGGTGAGATTAAAATAAATGTTTGGGAGGGAGGTACAGGACAGATCATTGGTAAGAGGGAAGAAAAGGATATTATGAAAGAAACCGATGAAAAAAGGAGTTGAAGGGGGAGAGAGAGGAAAAATAGCTGGGAATACAAAAAAGATAAGGATCTGGCAAAACAAACTGCCATGAAAGATGCAGTTACCAAAGGTTTGGTCCTGTATCAGCTGAAAGCAGGGATTTTGCTATTAACTTAACAGAAGTAAGGCTGGACCCAAAATGGCAATGTCCATAATTATGCCATGTCAATGAATAATAGTGTTGCCAATACAGTGTATTTTGTAGGGCAGCCCTTAAATACTCTGAGACTATGACACATGAAAAAAAACAGAGATGGACATAGCCCAAACCCTGGGTCCTAACTCCTTGAGCTTTGGGACCAATTAAATGCAGATCAGAACCACAGGGTTGGGATCATTTCTGGTAAAGAGAAACAGAGTTGATGACACTCAAACTGATACCAGTGCAAGCATTTTCTCATTGTTTTTCCCTCTTTTCCAATCACAGCCAGCCTTTGACTGTCTGTTTTTTGTTTAACGTAACTCAACCTAATAAACAGTCAACTGGCTCAAAATCAGTTTTTCAGACTTCTCTTTAGGACAGAGAGAACTACCTCTATTAAAAATACTACAGCAATCTAGAGTAAGCACCATGTTCGCTGCAACAACATTACAGTCAAATGGGTCGCCAACTGGCTGGGGGGCCGCACCCAGCGGGTGGTAGTGGATGGTTCCTTCTCAACCTGGAAAGACGTGGGCAGTGGGGTTCTGCAGGGCTCGGTCCTCGGGCCCACGCTGTTCAACATCTTCATCAGTGATTTGGACGAGGGGGTAAAAAGCACCCTGTTTAAATTTGCTGATGACACTAAGATGTGGGGGGACATGGGCACACTAGAAGGAAACAACAGGCTACAATCTGACCTAGACAGGTTACAAGGATGGGCGGATGAAAATAGGATGGGTTTCAACACAGACAAGTGCAAGGTGATGCACCTGGGAAGGAACAATCGGCACCATACCTATAGGTTGGGGAACTCCCCTCTTGTCAGCACGGAGACGGAAAAGGATCTTGGAGTCATCATTGACTCCAAGATGAACATGGGTCGGCAGTGTGGGGAGGCAGTTAGGAAGGCCAACCGTACCTTGTCATGCATCCACAGATGCATTTCAAGCAGGTCCAAAGAGGTGATCCTCCCCCTCTATGCGGCACTGGTCAGGCCGCAGTTGGAGTACTGCGTCCAGTTCTGGGCGCCGCACTTCAAGAGGGATGTGGACAGCATGGAGAGGGTCCAGAGGAGGGCCACTCACATGATCAGGGGACAGCAGGGCAGGCCCTATGAGGAGAGGCTACGGGACCCGAACCTGTTCAGCCTCCAAAAGAGAAGGCTGAGGGGGGATCTTGTGGCCTGTTATAAACTAGTCAGGGGGGATCAGCAGGCATTGGGGGAGTCACTGTTCCCCCGAGCACCGCCAGGAGTGACCAGGAATAATGGTCACAAGCTGGCAGAGGGTAGGTTTAGGTTAGACATCAGGAGGTGCTATTTCATGGTCAGGGCGGCTAGGGTCTGGAACCAACTTCCAAGAGAGGTGGTGCAGGCTCCTACCCTGGGGGTTTTTAAGAGGAGGTTAGATGAACACCTTGCTGGGGTCGTTTGACCCCAGTACTCTTTCCTGCCATGGCAGGGGTTTGGACTAGATGATCTGCTCAGGTCCCTTCCAACCCTAGAAACTATGAAACTACTGCTAACAGTATGGTTTTGGACCATTAATCTAGAATATTTTTAAGAAGTGGTAACCCAAGAATCAGTAACCCTCTCCCTGATGTGGAGACATTAGGTTTGTCTTTATACTTCACATACATTTCTGTGGCTACAAGACAAAGAAGAAACAAGGTAGAATGGCTTCACATTTACTTGTTTGTTCTAAATAAGATGCTGGAATCTAATATTTACGTAAGTGTAAAGACATGACTTGAAAAAACTGTGTGAATAATATCTGGCAAGATGCCCCTCCCTGTCAACAGCAGATATCTCCATGAAGGAAAACTGACAGCTAAGTCACACACATGCGCCATTATTCTTCCTACACATGCGCAGCTTGGAAATGCTGTCTGTGCAATGCGCTCACTCGCACATCCATGCACTACTGCTCTCTTTTGCAACCCCCCCACCCCCGGCGCTCCACCTGTGTAAGTGGGTTTGATTAGGCCAGAACCCAATCAGAGGGGGAGGACTACTAGGACACAAAGGTATTCATCTAGTCATATTTCATATGGAGCAGAAATAATATTTAGAGATTAATAAAAGACTATTTGTGGGTTTTTTTGTGTGTTTGTTTTTTAATTCAGACAAAAAGGAAGGCAGCTATTTGGATAAAGTTAGCACTTCTAACTAGGATTCTTAGCATGTGATAGCTTGGTTGCTACATTGGAGCAAGAGCCAGACAAATGGAGATGAAAAAATCTACTTCAGGGTGATGACTGACTTGACCCCTTAGAATTACCCTGGAAAGTCAGTCACTTTTCTCCCTGGAAAAAAAAGCTCTTTGTGAATATACATCAAGTCACAAGACTGCTACAAATACTGTTCCCACTGAAGAAATTGCTAGTTAAGCATAAACTGCCACGTCACAAGTGCTGCTTGCTGTATCTGTTCTTCCATCCCAGACTCAGGTGCCTGTCACCCATAGTCAGCTTTTCTGATTAAACTAGAAGTGTTGAGTAAAATATTAGAAATGTACTCTATCTATCATGTTGCAACTCACAGTAGCAACACAGCTTGGTGGCTAGGAATACTCATAGATGTTCAGTTAGCTGTACACATATTCCCAGCACTCCTAACTCATATCAACACCAACAAAAAGTTCAAAAGTCAGTTCTTTACTTTTATGAGCATAAAACATGAGACACAATCAGTGCTAGGACCAGGAGATAAACCTGATGAGGAAGAGCTGAGACTATATGTACAAGGCACTGTATATATAGACAGGCATATTCAGCAGTGGAACAAAGTGTTACCTTGCTATTTTAATAAGCATCTGGGCTAGGGACAAAAGTTACACATGAACCAGTTTAAACCTGTAACCGAACATAAGTTCAGTGACCATAAACCAGTTTCAAAATGGCCAAAACTGGTTTTAAGATAAACCTGGTGGAATATAGTATCAGACTTAACTGATTTGGGTCAAACCAGTTTGTGCAATTTCTGCCCCAGACTCCTTCCTGGTTTAAGTTAAACCAGAGTCCCCCAGCATCCCAGCATGCTTTTCAGCCCTGGGCTGTGCTGGGCTGTCTGCTCCAGAGAGCAGGACTGACCCTGCCCCTCTGTGCTCTAGCCAGAGGAGGGGCAGGGGCATAGCCAGATGCAGGCCTGGAATGGCCTCTTGAGGCAAAGGGAGCAGGGAGGGTGTTTATTCTCCCCCCATAGTGGGGTACCACAGCTGGGGTCTGCTTGGCTGGGGTGTAACAGCCTCTGTCAGATATTCTCCTCCTCACTGCTTGGGCCACAGTGGGGGGTGGGGATCCACAGCCTGAAGCAAACAGGGAGAGGGAGGGGGATTTAATTTCCCCCTTCATCCGCTGTCCCGTCGGCAGCCCGGGTATGCCTGGCTGGGGCCCGTGTCAGGCATTCCCCACACTCCCCACTCCAGCGGCAGGGGTGTGGCTAGAGCCAACAAGCATTGCCCAGCCATATGCCTGCCTCGCCCATGGCTGGGTCAGGGGCCTGCAGGTGCTGCTGAGAGTGGACATAGAGGGGCCAGCCTGGGCTGGGCTGTGGGGACGGGGCCCTTCCCAGAGGGCTGCAGCTATGGCTGAGGCCACAGGGGCTACACAGCCAGATTACTCCCACCTCCCTGAGCTCAGGCTGGGCAGGGGGTATAATGGAGCCACCACGCTGGCTGCAGTGGGTGGCTGCCGGGCTCTGGGCCTGCTGGCGCCTCCAGGTTGCCCTGGGTATCACGCTGCCTGGCTGGTTGCCACCTGGGCCACTGGGCCTAGCTGTCACAGAGCCACACCTGGCTGGCCGAGGCCCAGCCCGGGCCAGCCCAGCTGGGCCCTTCCCAGCCAGCTGTGACTCCATGAGAGGCCCAACCAGCCTGTGTGCCGTGCAGCTCCCGCAGTCCCAGCCCCCTGGGAAGTGCCCAGCCCCCATGGCCCAGCCTGGTCTGGCCCCTCTCTTTCCACCCTCAGCAGCACCCACAGACCAACATGGCTCAGCCCCACAGCCCTAGCCCCACAGCCCCAGCCACAGGGCCATGCTTGTGGGCTCTGGCCAGGCTCCCCTCCACGTGAGCAGCGAGCAGGAGGAAAACCAGGCAGAGCCCAGCTTAGGTCCCCACGCCCATGCCTGAGAGGGGAGACAGGGAAGTTTAATCCTCCTTCCTGCCCCCCTTCCCCTGCAGTACTGTGCGGGCCAATGCCTGGCCTTCAGGACAAGCCTGGCGAAGGCTGCTTCCCCCTCCAGGCACACCCCAGCT